GCAGATGGACGCAGCGCGGACACGCACAGCGGAGGCGATGAGCTCTGAGCGAACTGGAGCCATGTTGCTGAAGCGACGCCTCACGTGACACACAACAGCAGCTCATGTGACGCTGCCGCAGGACACTGACGCTTCCTCTGCAGCAGCACGTGACAAACACAACAACAGGGACTGTCCAGAGGAGACAGGGGCGGGTCTAGGATTTTTCTGCATCAGGGCCATCAGGGCCCCACAATTTGCACAGAGGGGCCAGGTGAATGACTGGAAACACTTCACACCCGGATAACCCGAGTTGATAGTGTTCCAGTGACACAGGAACAATGTTTATGTTAGCCAGCTAGCCACTGTTAGCAGAACCAGAATAATGCATTACGCTACATTTCACGCATACTAACACATAAGTAAAGCGTCCACAGAAAGCAATTGGACAGTACTATGTGTACCACACATCTAACGAGAGTAGTGCTGATAAACTGTTAAAACTACAGCTTTCACTATTGTTGATATTTGAAGGGGCCATACTGGATTTCGAAGTCGGGGGTCCAAGTCAAAATTCCAATTTGAGGGGGCGTTCCAGTTGCAACTTCAAGGTTTCGAGCTCTGAGGTTTAATGGAACACGACATAACACCTGTGCACAATTCCTAATTTAGTGAAGTGCACATTTAGGTCCTGATGTCATGTTGGTGTTTTTAAGCAAACTCACACCTCACTCAACATATTTTGAAAATAGTTTCTTGTTCAAACGCATTGTTTACTTCTAAAAAGGTTTGAAAATAGACAGATTGTCATATTTATTGTGAGTATTGTTTTTACTAGTTAGTAGGACAGGGGCTCTTCAGGGGCAAATCCCAGCTGGGGCCAGTGCTGCAAATGTAAAATAGAGAGCGGTGACTGGAATAAGGAATGAACAGGTCAGAGATGTAACCTGCTGCTGGTCATGCAGCGCTTTGATATCAAATCAAGAATATTCTAGTCAATGTACTTCACCAATAATCAAAGAAGATAGGCCAGTGCCTGTTTACCTGAGCAGAATAATCAATTTTGCAATATATGTAGTGCTTTTGTTTGATATATACTTTGATTTGACAATAAATTGAGGTTAATGTAATGAGGAGAAATTCTGCATTATCCTTATAGGCCTACTATAGGCACATTGTCTGAACCTTTTTAAAGGTCCAGTGTATAAGATTTATAAAAAGCTTAACTTCTTGATTTAAAGTGACAATAGCAAACTACTACAGTACTGTGCAAATGTTTTAAGCACTCTATATGTTTGGATCCTTATCTATCACACAGAAATATGGGGGAGGTGTCTGATTAGTCCTTAATCAGCATGACAATGAGCCCAAACAAGAATTAACTTGGAGAGTAAGAAGTCTAAAAACAACAACAGAGGGTGTGGTCGCCACCGAGCCCTGATCTCAACATCATGGAGTCAGTCTGAACTGACATGAGGAGACACAGGAGAACTTCTCCAGGATATTTGGAACAGTCTGTTGTGTTTGTCAAGTTACAGGGTTAAACGAAATATTGTTTTGATTCTGTATTTTTTTTTCTGTTTATCGCACCCAAGTAAGACCCAAGTAAAATGACTCCAGCGTCAGAGTCTGCTACTTTCAACACAAATAAAAATTCATCTCTAATACCTGACCAGGATGCAGACAGAAATATCTCCACAAGGTGGCGTAATGTCTGCAATTTCACAGTCAAACCCTTCAGCAGTTTTGTGCAGACCATAAACTGTGCATTGTGCACCAAACTTTGTAGGGATGGGGTCTGTGCATGGAAATTAAATAGTACATTTTGTCTTTCAACACTTGTTAATTGAGTATTTTTTCTCTGTCTTTAACTATGTTTCATAATAATTAAATCATAAGACCACTACTTCCTTTCTTCTTTTATATCTGTACTATAAGAACTAGATAACTGAGTGCCATTGTAGTGTCTATTGGAGGTAACTGTATCAGGATCTTTGTCTACTACAGTTGATGTTGATCAAAGTTTGTCTGGTGCCACATTGAAATCTGGATTTTTGACACATAACATTCAATGTACATGCTTATTTCCTTACAGTACATTATTTATTTGTTTCTCAAGAACTCCTGCTAATTACATAAATGTGAAAACAGTTGAACTAAGAAGTAGAGTATATTGTCATACAGGGGAATTCAAAAATGCAT